AGAGAAGAAAGGAAACCAGAGAAGGTGGTAACTGTTAGGTCCCCTGTCGGTGCACAATTATCATGGCAACGGTTCAAAGCTGTGCCTGATAATGCATACCTCCTTATTCCCAGAAGCTCCTATGGCTTCTCCCTCCCAAAAGTCTGTGCCAAAGCTCAGGCAAGTAAAAGTTTACCCAATCCCCTGCACGCTCATGAAATAAATCAGCTTTCACCAGTCCCCAGAGCCCTACCCCCATTAGAGCCTATGTCAGGCAGAACCTGCTCCTTGTCTATAGGAGAGCCGCCACAGGCTTCTCTGTGGAGACTTCCTCTGTGCCCTCCCCCCTTATTAAACTACTTGCCTCTTCTCTTTTAATATTCTATGCTGCTCCAGATTGAGTACAAATCAGTCAATCAGTTAGTGCCGTTGACTCCAGCGGTTGGGAGGCTGTGTGGCTCTTGGGGAGTCTGTCCCCCGGTCTGAATCCCTCTCCAGCCTACAGACCTTTCCTCTCTGTTCCTCCTTTTCTCTCTCTGTTTCTTTTTCTGGGAATAGGGACTCCTCAGCCTTGCCATTTCTAGCCAACATCCAACACCAGCCTTCATCTCGTCAGGTCCAAGGTGAGCCTCCTCTCACTCTACTTTGCCTGTCCCAAATTGTGGCCAAGTCAGGACATCCCCCTACTACTCTACGTCCCTTTGGGACCTCTACATCCTTCAGCACTCCCCCAGGCCTCCTCTGGTGATGACTAGAGAAGCCACTGGTGGGACTGTGCTACTACAGGTGTGCCTCACTAGAGGGTGACGATTCTCTGCGGATTCACAACCCCCCCACTCCCCCGCCCCCCACCGTCCTAATTGGAACACATGGGTAATAATCATTACCCGACAAAACCACTCTTCTGGGCTGCGCTTAGACACACTGGGGCTAAAACAAACTCTCAGGCCAAAGAGGCTCACATTAGGAGATTTATGTAACTTTTACGACTGAAATGGCAGGTGGGGGTAAATACCTTATGTCTAGCTGCTGCAAGCCCTGACCTATTCCAAACCTCCAAGGCCTCCCAAATTCTTTTGACTCACTTCACAGGTCCTCCTCCTTTATCAGCTTTTCTTTCTTGTTTCTCAGACCTGATAGATAAAACACCTCCACATCCCACTGCCATAACTCATGCGAATTCCCCCCTTCCTCCTCCTCATCTCATGGTTACTCTCAGAAGACTACCCCACTGTCAGCTCCTCCTCTGTTTACCCAGCTCTGTCCCTCCTGTCTCTCCCCCTCCCCAATCATACTTGATCCTGCAGTCCTCCTAAACTCTCATTCCATTTCCCAAGCAGTACCAAACATTCAAACTAAATTCAAAACTGTCAGATCTTGGTCCTCAGTTCCTGCAGGGAGACCTCTTACATACGGCTTTCCATGTCTTCAACAATAGACAAAAACAGGATAACCTTAAGAAGGTTACATTCTGGGGCTGGAGATTTAGCTCAGTGGCATAAGTACCTGCCTTGCAGCAGGCGGTCGTGAGTTCAATCCCTGGTACCAATAAAAAGTTTTAAAAAAAGGTTACATTCCAAGAAGACCATAAAAAGGTTGTATTCCACGCTGAAACTCTAAGGCCAATTTAGGTCTACAGCAGCTCAGTGAGTGGCACCCAGGACTTGAGATAAAACACAGACTGGAGAAAAAAAGATCTAAAAACCTGAACCCCACCCCCACCCCCCATCATGCTTCAAGTGTGTTAGAAAAACGACACTGGACATGAGCCTGCCCTGACCCGCGGCCACGATTGGGAACCGGTCCCATCCGCAACCAAGAAGGCCACTGGAAGTGCGACTGCCCTGTCCGCCAGAGTGGGTAAGTCGTCACCTTCCCACCCTCACAGGATGGGACACTGCCACCTCAGACCCATCACCAGCTGAGCTGCTCCCCACCACTGCTGAAGAGGACTGATGGGGCTCAGGGCCACAATCACACTCACGTATCTCTCTCAGAGCCCTGAGTCTCGCTGGACATCTCAGGTAAAATCCTCTTTCCTTGTTGACATGGAAGCCACCCATAGTGTCTTCCTGAGTGTCATGGTTTATGTTTGTGTCCCCCAGGCCCCATGAGTTTACATTGTGTATTTGTGATTGGTTCATTGTCTAGTGCTTGGATTGATGGTGTAAGTGCTCCACCCACCTGGGGGTGGAGCCAGGATGTGATGTAATGACAGGAAGAAAGTATGTCTTTCTTTTTGCTGGTTCGAGCTTGCTGTCGGTGGCTGCCATGAACTGTGGCCCAGCCAGGCCTGCCTGTCTTGGAGCCAACTGAGTGTGGACTGAAACCTCCAAAAACTGTAAGAAATAAACCTTTCCTTTCCCAACTTGGGCATCAGGTATTTTGTCTCAGCGATGAGCATAAAGTGACTAAGAAGCATGTTCCCAGTCTGCAGTCTCCATTGTGGGAATTAACAGCCAACCTGCATGACCTCTGCAGAAAAAACCTACTCCCTGCAGACTTCAAACCCTTTCCTTACACAGCTGTCTTATTATCGTAAACTGTCCTGTACCTTTTTTTGATAAAAATTCTACTCCAAAAAAGCCTCAATTTCTCTTATACTCTCTCCCTCTCCCCACGGCTCTCATACTCCAATATCAGCCATCATAGTTGCTGACTCAGCCCTTCCCCTCCCCTCGCCCCTCACTGACCCTACAGTCTGAGAGTCCCACTCACGCCACCCACAGTACTCCGCTGCTGTTATGAATTAAAAACTGGTGGTCAGTTTAACGTCAGCTGAATTAAATCAGCAGGGTGCTGAGCATAGATGTTCCACCTGAGGAGAGTTAAGCGTAAATAGAGACTGGAAAAGGAGAAGTTATGGCGTTGAGGTGTTGAGGCATTGTGGGTTCTCCTACGAGTTGCTGTTTGAGCTGTTAGATTCTCCTGGAGAAGCTCTGGTCCTCACATCAAGCACTGCTTCCTGGCTCCAGAGTGGAAGACGTGTGCCGCTTGGTCTCCAGGATGAACTCATCAGGCTGGCTTCCTGGCAGGTACCCAACTGTGCTTATCATTGGAAGAGCTCAGCACCTCCGTGTCACTGAGGATGGCTGTGGTGCTTTTCAGGACAGCCCTGGTCTTTGTTGTGTGACTTCTCGGCTCCAGCACAGAACCCTCATCCCACCAGCACAGTTCCTTCACCCCACTGGTATGGACTTCCTAGCTTCCACTGCTGACCTTTGGGCCTTCCCAGCACGCCAGTAAAAGAGACTGGTGTGAGTCCTTCTTGTGAGCCCTAGACCTCCAGTTGGACTTGTGGGAGGCCTTGTCATGAGCTCTGGGTCTTCAACTGGACTCATGTGGGACATTGCTGTGAGATTCAGGCTGTTGGCTAAATATGTGTTTGGTGTTGTGGATAGATTTCCTGTATTTTCTTGTGTTAACTCTGGGTGACCATCATAAAATATTATAAAGTCCATGTCCTGATTTTAATTGTTCTGAATACAACCCCTTCCTACAACGGCTGCTAATTCACCTTAAACACCCCTCAGTCTTCTCTTCAGTACCCCAATGCCCAATAGCCCCTAAAGATCTCAGGGGCTCAAACCTATACTCTGCTGCTTATTAGCTAATGGGTTTCTGAAAGTCACTCACTTGCCTTATGACACCCCTATTGTCCCCTGTCCTCAAATCCAATAGCTCAGATTCCTCCACGGACCTCTCACTTTCCTGTGTTAGACTTAAAAATATACCTTTCACTATTCCCTTACATCCACAGTGCCAAGACCTTTTCACGTTTATATGGACAGATTCAGATACTTTTCAGTCCACCCAACTAACATAAACAGTGCTGATCCAGGAACTCAGATACAGCCCTCACTTCCTTAGCCAAACCTTAGCCAATGATCTCGCAACTGTAAATCTACAACCTAGTAAGCTCATTCAGTACATAGACGGCCTTCTACTCTGCTCTCCTTCCTATACCACAACAACGCAACACACAGCTGCCTTACTCAACCTTCTCTGTAGGAAAAGATATAAGGTCTCTCTCTCCAAAGCTCAAATCACCTCACCAAAGGTCCGATACTTAAGCCTCATGCTTACACTCATCACAGGGTCCATAACCTCTGACCGTAAGACTTTCCTTTGTGACTTACAGACATCAGTCAGTAAACAAATATTATCCTTCTTAGGTCTATCAAACTTTTTTCACCTCTGGATCCCCAACTTTGCTTCCTTAGCTCAGCCACTATATCAAGCCTCTTTCAGAACCCCTAGACCCTACTATACCAATTGACACTCCCTTCATGAAGCTTAAGGAGGCCCTCCTTAGAGTCCCTGCTCTTACACTTCCTAATCCTACTACACCCTGTATTCTATACACTACAATAGATAAACATAATGTGGTGGGGGCATTGGGGCACAGTAAAGGACATTCATTCCAGGCCATAGCCTACCTCACAAACTAGCTAGACACTGCAGTTAGAGGATGGCCTCCCTGCATTCAGGCTCTAGTACTTAGGAAGCCAAAAAGTTCACTTTAGGACAGACAATCACAGTCTACTCACCACACCATCTAGTCAATCTAATTTCTCACAGGATACTCCCAGCTCTAATGACACCATCACAGCTACAAGTACATCGAATTCTAATACAAGACCCCATTTCATAGTCTCAGCCAGCAACACCCTCAGTCTAGCCACCCTATTGCCCACTCCCACAACAGATACAGAGGTGAGTCCTCTTCATAACTGCACAGGTGTTCTCCAATTAACCCATACTCACTGCCCACATATACAGGATTCTCCTCTCTACTCCTACTCCAGCCCCTGTAAAACTCTGAGCTCCCCCAGGTCATCTACATTCCAGTTTTCTCATCCCTCCAACATCTTCAACAATACACTGATCTTTGCATTCCTCAACCCTCCGAGGGGCACACCCCAGACTCTCCTTTATCTCCAGGAGACTTAATCTATATTAAAATTCCTAAGGCCACAGGTTCAACTTCAACTCTTCAACCTAAGTAGTATGGACCTCACCTGGTAAACCTTGCAGCTCCAACTGCAGTGAAGGTAGAGGGATTGCCAGGCTGGTTTCACATCATCCAGATGAAGAGATACCATCTGCTGCCCGGTAATCTCGATCCCAAACACACTGAAGGGACTTTGTGGACCTCACATCCAATAGCTCCCACCCATCTCTGATACAGAGAAACACAGAGAAACACAACACAAACGCTAATGCTTTGCTGCCCTACCTGGTTGTGGCCTGTATACAGCTCTACCATCTCCTCTTCCTCACAGGTGCTCTAACACTCTACTCAAAAACAAAAAACAAAACAAAAAAAAACACCATTCTCCAAAGGCTTACAGTTCTCACACTCTGCATATTAATAATCTTACTGTTTACATTCCCCAATTGCCTTAGTTAATATGATAGGCTTCCTCCTCTACCTCAATCTATTCCTTCACCTAACCCTACAACACTCAAACACCCCAAAATATTCTTTTTTTTCTAGTATAGCTTTGCTTTATTTTATTTATTTTTTTTTAATTTTATTTAAATAAAGGCTAAGCAAAACAGAAAATAGGTAGAAATAATACATACATTCAGAGAAAAAAATAAACAGTAAGAAATCACTAGTTGGGGCCAGGATTTAGCTCAGCAGCATAAGCGCCTACCTTGCAAGCAGGCAGTCGTGGTTTCGATCCCTGGTACCGATAAAAAGGAAAAAGACAAAAAAAAAAAAAAAAGAAAAGAAATCACTAGTTGATGTTTACATATTGTCGTTTTACAAATAGTTGTTCAAGGTACAAGAGTGGAATATGTAAAGTGGGAATTCAAAAAGCGAGACTGCAAACAGTTCTGTTCAACTGTCCAACAAAAACATAGTAACATGGTATACTAATCCTATACTTAAACATACATGCAGTTATCTATATCTTCATTTATGTTTAGATTAAATAAACTAAAGCAGGTTAAAATCATTCTGAACAAAGAATAATAGTATTGCTGGATTTCACATCATGACACTCTGTGATCAGCACTGGGTACTGTAGTGTCTTTTTAAAAAATTTTATTTAAAGAAAGACAGAACAGAAAACGGGTAGAAATAATCCATAATTTCAAAGAAAAAATAAACAGTAAGAAATCACTAGTTGATGATTACAGATTGTCTTCTTACAAATACTTATTCAAGATACTAACGTGGAGTATATAAAGTGGGGATTCAAACAGTGAGATTGCAACCAGTTCTGTTCCAACTATCCAACGAAAACTTAGAAATACGGTTATCAATCCTATACACTTAAACATACATGCAGTTATCCATATTTTCAATTATGTTGACATTGAATAAACCCAAGCAGGCTAATATCACTCTGAACAAAGAATAATACTATTGCTAGGTTTCACATTATGACACTCCAGGATCAGCACTGGGTATTTTAGTGTCTCTTTTTCTTTAAAGTATCTGTTCATTTCATCATGTGTCATAAGATCTGTTCTCATAAACTACTTACAGATTCTACACATGCATGAGTCTTAACATGTATTTCTATCCTTTCTATATTAGAGAAACAAAGCAAGACAAAACAAAACATATTCCTATAATACATGAAATGAAATAAACATATAAGACCATTGTACAAAGAGTTCTACCATGGTTCCTGTGTTTCTCTTGTTATCTCCAATAGAATTGGCTATATCATCAGACATAGTATAATTGAATATATCAGTACATAACAGTATTAATAAAAACACAACTTTGTATATTCAAAAACCGGCAGTTATCAAACCAGAATGTGTATTGTAGCATCTTGTCATCTTCACTGTAGTTGCCTACACTCTCCAACTTGATACTATCAATCATATCAGTTTTGAATAAAATCTTCTCTGCCTCATTTCTGTTATGCTCCTGTTTGCCATTAGTTGTCTGCTTATCTTCTTCATTCTGCTTTCTGCTCCATTCATTGAGGCCTCTCTGCCACTGTTCCTGGAATCCTAGTACTTCTCTTTCTCTCTCTAGAATGCCCTGCAGTATTCTCTGTAGAATTGGATTGGTGGTTGCGAATTCCCCAAGTTCACCTTTGTCTTGGAAGCATCTTGTTTCTCCATTAATTTCTAGAGACAGTTTAGCAGGGTATATCAATCTGGGCTGGAGGTTATTTCCTTTCAAGGCTTGGAATATTTTGCTCCAGGCTCTTCTTGACTTGATGGTTTGTGTCGAGAAGTCTGCTGTTATTCTGATTGGCATTCCTCTTTAGGTTATCTGTTTCTTGTCTCTTAACAGCTTTTAATATTTTGTTCTTATATTGAATTTCTGGGATCTTGATTATTATTGCCTGGGTGTAGCTCTGTTTTGGTTGTAGATGGCTGGAGTTCTGTATGCCTCATATATCAGAATATCATTTCCTTTTCCTATGTTTGGGAAGTTTTTCTTAATTATTTCTGTGAATAACCTTTGTAGTTCCTTTGTTTGTACCCCAGCTTCTTCATTAACATTCTTTATTCTCAAGTTATAGATTCTTTTGTCATCTTCTAGCCTTTGTATTGTTACTGCTTGTTTCCTTGTTATTTTTAAAAGGTTTTTCCCTTTCATACTCCCACATTGCAAAATTGTCCTCCAGTTTGGATAATCTATCCTTAGTTTCTTTCAAGCTGCTTTGCCATCTTTCCGTAGAGTTTTTAATTTCCTGGTGATCTCTTTGAATCTGCTTCATGTATTCTATATATTTTTTTATATTCTTCATCAAATGGTTCTCTCCTTTGTTTGAGTTCTTCCCTTCTTCCATCTGTGTCTGCTTGAGGGGTGCTTAGTATCTCTTTAATTAATTTTCTTATATTTTGCTATATTTGGCTAAATATTTCCCTTTTGAACTCAACTATGAGGTCCTGAATATATCTCTTTATGTCCGGTGCTGTGTCTGATATTGCATGTTTGCTTTGCTGTTCTCATTCTCTTTGTATTTACCTGTCTTGGGTCCATGTTCTCAGTGTTGGGACCTGGGGACTTTTTGTTGTTGCTTCTTCTTCCCATCTTTTTTGCTTCTTCCAGGAGGCCTCAGTTTCTTTCTTTGTTGGTTACAATTCTTCTGAAGTGTGCTGGCTAGATGACCCTTCACACTGCAGTGTGCTAGTGAGCTGTAGACAAGGACAGCATATGCTGGCCCCTCACCTCCAGATCAGTCAAGCGCTGTGGCCTGTTCTGTATTACTTTGCGTCACCTCCCCTCCGGGTGTGGGCGGCTGGAGCACAGCAGCAAAGATCAAATATACTCACTGGCCACAGTAGTTCTCCAACAAGGAAGGTCACTCAGTATTCTCACAGCAGAAAAAGTGGGACACTATGCCATGTTGGGGGAAGAATGCTGCTACTTTGTCAACCAATCAGATATAGTCAAAGATCAGGTACAAAAAAACTCAAAAAACTAGCAGCTGATATATGAGGGAGATATTTCCCAGAAGCCACCCCTTGGTCTCTTCATGGTGGGACCCTCTATGGTCCCTGGCTCCCGTTCTAATGTCCATTATGGGTCCCATAATTACCATAGTATTTTTTTTGCTTTCTGCTCCTCATGCCTTTGGGCTCCTCTTATGATTTATCCAAGCCAGAACACAGGCGTTCACTACCAAAGAAATCCTACTACTGAGCGACATCACCACCTCACAAGCTCAGACAAAATGGATCCCTCAATCCCATTCTCTTCTACCTTAGTCCCCAACAATGCCCCTCTCCGCAGGAAGCAGTCAGAGAGGCTCCACGGTGCTCCCTAACACCAAAGAGATGGGAGTGTTAGATCCTCCGTAAGAGACACAGCTCAGTTATCATGGCAGTGGTTCAAAGCTGTGCCTGATAATGCATACCTCCTTCTTCCCAGAAGCCCCCTCCCAGAAGTCTCTGCCAAAGCTCAGGAATGTAAAGGTTCATCCAATCCCTTTCACTCTTACAAAACAAATCAGCTCACACCAGCCACCAAAGCCTTCCACACATCAGAGCCTACATCAGGCAGAACCTGCCCTTTGTCTGCAGAGAGCCGCCACAGCTTTCCTTGTGGTGACTTCCTCCGAGTCTCCCGCTTAGTAAACTCTTTTCTTACCTATTTGCCTCCTCTCTTTAATATTCTGCACTGCTCTAGATTGAGTACAAATCAGTCAACCAGAAACTTGGTCAGAAACAAAATGGTCCCACCTTTGTCACATTTCCTATAGGTCCTTGGTCACGCCATACTACAGCATTTCTGAGGCGGGGATAATACTGTAAAACTCAGGGCTAGGGATGTAGCTCAGTGGTAGGACCCCTGCCTCGCATGCACCAGGGTACTTAATCTGTAGCAGCCCAAAAATAGAAAATACAACAGCCCACAAGCTACAGAATTGCTTCCTGGTCTACAGTAACCTGTCACTGACAATCAGCTATTTCTTGTATCTCTCTGGTTGATGGGACAAAATACCTGATACCCGCATGTGAAAGGAGGAAAGGTGTAATTTGACTCACAGTTTGTAGAGGTTTCAGTCCTCAGTTAGCTAGCTCCGGGCAGGGTGGCATGGCAGAGGAGAGACAGTCCATGGTGGGGCAGGCAGGAAGCAGGAAGCAGTGGGCCTCCCTTTCCCTTTTATCTCGTCCAGGCTATTGAATGGTGCAATCCACATCAGGTAGATCTTCTCGTAACCCACACCCAGGTCCAGGCTAAACCAGTCAGTGGACTAATGTAGTTACCGCACACTCAGTCTATATTCATTCACCACAGATCCAGCCACCTCCAAAAAGCAACACTTATGTGTGTGTGAGACTTTGGGGGACATCCAGATACAAGCCATAAGAAGCTATTATCATTTAAACCAAGCCTGGTATGGTGGCACACACGTGTAATCCCAGCTACTCAAGAGGCTGAGGCAGGAGGAACCTGTGCAACCTAATAGGACCTTGTTTCAAAATAAAATAGAAAAGGGCTGGAATGTAGCCAGGGTGTAGCTTCAATTCCCAATTCTCAAAACAAATCAAAGAGTAAGGCAACAACAACAACAAAAAGAACTGTAACCACAAAACAAGAAAGTCTCTATCAGATAATGAAGCCAGATACTTTACTTGGATCAGCTAAGCAGAATTACCATGAGATAAACTCCTGGGAAACCTGTTTATTGAGTTAATGGTTTACTCTAAGGGAAAGGTTGGCCTGAGATCTACCCAACACAGGACTTAACACCTAGGGCCCCTTGGATCTGGAATTGGCAGAAGAGACAGAAATGGCTTTTGCAGCCCATACTGCACGCAGGTTTTCAGCTCAGGAGATTCTTGGGGTTCTGAGTGTGACAGGTAGAAGCCAAACACCCCATCCTTTTCTTCTCTCTTGGTACAGGATCCCGATTGAAAACTGAAATCTCACTCCCACGGGCATCTTTATCCATGAAGATACCCACCACAGATGTAGATAGGTAGGCAGGAACCACTGAGAAGGTCCCACACTGCTCTACCTTGGAAATGACTTACCCAAAGTCAGAGTCCCAAACACACACGGTATCCCAGTATGTGGGAAGCTGAGGCAGGAGGATCACAGTGCGTTAAGGCCAGCATGGGTACCTACTGAGTTCCCCCAGCCTAGCTATACAACAAGACCTTGTCTTGAAAAAAATAAAGAACAAAGAAACAACACAAGAAAATACCAGAGTCAATGTTTCAGAAAAGCAAGGCAGGCATCCAGCTAAGTTCAAAGTTCCTACCGCTGCCCAGCAGTGTTGCAGAAAATGTTCAAGGCGGGGGTGGTGGTGGTGAATGAAGGACTTGGTCATTGCAGTTATGTGTCCTCTGTTCTTCTGTCACCTCGGCCTGGATTAGGAAGCTGCAGCCTGGCCCTTTGGAGGTTCGTGTAGAGTTAGCGAAGGTGGGGGAGCCAGGGCAGCACCACTGGAGACCTCCTCCAGGAGAAAATGATGATCCAGGCAACAGCCACACAGCAGATTGCCAACTGCACAGTCTCTGATCACGCCAGCGTCCCCAGATCCTTAGCCGGGGTGCAAAGGGGTCTCTGTTTCTGTCTCTAGCCTCACCACACACTTTTCACTCACAGATTAAAGTCACCTGCTGGGAGAGCCTTTCGCTGACTCTCCCCTGCTGGGGCCGTGTCCTCTCTTCCCTGTCCCCAGGCTGTCAACACTGAGACCAACTGCTGTCTCATTTGCTGTCCCTGCTGGACTCCCAGGATGGGAGCTGTGTGCAAGTCCTGTTCTCCAGCAGCCCCTCAGCCTCTGATGGCTCACCCAGCGCACAGCAGCTCCCAAAGCCCAAGCACTGATGGTCTCAGGAAGCTGTGGGAGAGACTGAGGGACCCGACAGCCTCTCCTGAGGCCCTGTGGGAACCCCCTGGGGCCACTTCCCAGGGGGTTACTTCTCTGTGCCTCACTTATGCTTCTGCAAACTGGGACTGATCGCATGCGCAGTACGTGCTGTGACACGTGCTGTCCCATAGGACCACTTAGTATCTGCTACTGTTGGGGGCCAGAGGACGTGAATATTTTCCTGTGCTGTGGGCCAGACAGTGTGACTGGGATCCCTTGGTCTCAAGGCTGTTGCGACCTTGCTTTGGGAAACAGAGCTATGGGGAAGGCTGTGGTGCTTCCCGGCTGTGCAGGGAAGGCCCAAACTGCTGATGCTCCTAAGGGAAGGTACATCTGCCTAGGACAATGCACAGGACACAGGCATCCGGGACACAGGGAAGAACGTCTCCATCTATCACAGCTGCTGTTCCAAGACAACCCTAGCGCTCTTTCTTCTGTGCTGCTGCTTGGCTGAGGACAGTCGGCTGGCTGCTGAGACGGGTGTGCCCGTCCCCTGGTACCTTAAATATAGTCTTTTTTTTTTTTTCCCATCGTCCCTATCCCTTGCCTGACAGGTACTGGGGGTCTGATCAGCTCCCAGCATGCTACTGTGACAGTGACTGTTTTTGGCCCTGTTTTTATTTCTTTTTTGCATGCAGTGCCACAATCCCAGCTATTTGACTAGAGGACTGCAAGTTCCAGGCCATTCTGGGCAACTTGCTGGGACCTTCACTTAAAAACAAGAAAATGATAGCAGTAAGAGCTTATTACTTGGGAATATGAGATGCATAAGTACATTTTAAAAACAACAACAACAAACTCCAACTCCAAATGCTGAAAGTGGCTCCTGCTGAGAGGTAGGATGGGGACATTATAGAGGGGCAGACAGGTGATCACTTCCTGTCATCTGCCTGTAGTACAGTCCATTCTTTATCTTTTGCTCTTTTTTTGCAACACTAGAGATTGCATCACTGTTCTTTTTGCCCCTGGGGATTGAACCCAGGGCCTTTGCATGGAGCTACATCCCCAGCCATTTGTTTATTTTCTGGGTTTCAGACGGAGTCTAAACTAGGGTCAGTCTTGTGATCTTCTTGTCTCAGACTCCCAGAATTACAGATGTGCTCTACAACACCCAAATAATGTGGTTATTTTTGTTACAGGCAGGGATATGGAGGACCGGGAGGAGGTGCCCTGTCCAAATCTGCCTGGAGGCTGGAAACTGGCAGGCAGCCTTGAACTTCATTCTGAGCTCTCACTGTCCCTGTTTCCTTCTTTCCCCCAGACTGTCTTCCCATGTGTCCCACTTGTTCCATCACTGAACAGTCACTGGGTGTCAATTGTGTGCTGACATGTGACTGACAATAAAACCACTCCTGGAGCCAGGTGTGCTGGTGCACTCCTGTAATCCCAGCACTCAGGAGGCTGAGGCAGGGGATTGTTGCAAGTTTTAGGCCAGTGTGGGCTACAAAAGGAGCCCAAGGACAGCCTAAACCACATAGCAACATCCTGTCTCAGAAAGACAACAAAACAAAACAAACAAAAAACCCCAGCTCCTGGGCTGGGGATGTAGCTCAATGCCACAGCACCTGCCTGGCAAGCCTGAGGTGGTGAATTCAGTTCCCACTACAAAAACAAAACAACAACAACAACAACAACAAAAAACCCCAGCTCCTTAATAACAGAGAATTGGTCACGGTAGGCAAGACACTTGTATAAAATGCCCCAGCAATCAAAGTCCAGCTTGTTCATTTCTGGTTGTGACACTGCTAAATTCTTTAACTTCTCTGAGGCATTTTCCTCCTCAATTAAAAGGAGAGAAAAAGACCTCTCAGAGGGAGAGCTGAAAGCAGTATCAGCTCAATAGGTAGCTTCATCATTTATACATATATATATATATATATATGATTACATATTTATAATCATCATTTATACAATACATATGATTTTTTTGGAGTCAGAATCTCACTATGTATTTCTGGTTGGTCTTGGATTCACTGTGTTTCCCAAATTCTAGATGATCCTCCTGCCTCAGCCTCCCAAGTGCTAGTGCTAGGATTACAGGTATGTGCCCCACACCCTGCTCATCATTTTATTTTGGATGATCAAATGGTGCACAAGGTAGCTAGTATGTCCCCCTTACCACGTACCCAGGACCCCAGTTCTCCTGTCTTGTGCATCTCATCAATTAGCGGGTTGGCACAAGGCAGATACAGCCACAACCACATCCGCAGACGTCCTTACACGAACGGGAGCAGCGTTCAAACTGTTCTTTCTGCCCCTCCTTTTCCACCAAAGGTACCTTGCAAGTCCTCCCGTATTAGTGAACAGTGAACACTTGACGCTTTTAATGGCTGCACAGTTCTCCAACGTATGGATTATTATTATTTTCAAACTCGACTGACGTTACTACTGTCACCCTGGGAACTGCGAGGGCCTGTAGAGATCGAGTTGGCAACCGAGGACAGTTTCAGATCCAATTCGCTGTTACCTTGAGCTTCCAGTTCACCGCCTTACGATTAAGGGAAAGGGACGTAGGTACAAAAAGCATTGCCCGAGCACAGCTCAGCTAGCAGCGCGCCTAAATTATCTCGAAGAACTGTTTTATCTTTTCGAGGAAGTCACACAGCACATAAGAGTAGCACCAAACACATCAAAAGTTCTGGCACCCTCAAGCTCAGAACCCTTACCAGATTCTCCTGGCATCGGAACCCGCCCTTAGGTCAGCCGCCTTGGGAATCAGCTACTACTACTCACCTCCTTTTGAACTGCTTCTCCGCTGCAGCTTAAGTGTATTCCTAAGGTTACCGAAGTTCCTATCCCTTTAAAGGGGCCGAGCCGTGGATCAGATACTTCCGCCCAGAAGCAACATGGCGCTGGCGCAAGAGAAACGGTTACCCGAAGGCGCAGAGACAACCGCCACTGAAACGTTGGCTTCGCTTTGCCCGCCCCGCGCAGCCCATCGATGACGTCACTGCCGTACGAAGCAGCTGAATGGCCGGGTTACTAAACCTCACGTCAGGCTTCAGCGGCCGGGCGCAGAGAGCCTAGGTGGCTGAGTCAGGTGAGGAAAAGACGCTTGACCTGTCAACTCTGGAAGTCCATTCAGACGCGCCCTGCCTCTGCCCGGTGTCACGTGCCCTGGGCAGTTCAGGCTGTATGCCCAGGGCGGTCCGCCTGGGATTCCTGAGGCCGCCGGGATCCGCTTTCTTTTCCACTCCCGCGGGCGCTGGGTCCCCGCGTTCCACGCTCTCCTAGGGCCGCGGCGCGGGAGTTTCGCTGCCGTGTGCTCTGCCAGGGAGCTTCCGCCTGCCTCCCCCGGGTCCGCTTGGCTCTTGTAGGCCGAATCCCCTCGACCTCCTGGCGCATGCGCGCTCCCGCTTGGCGCGGGTTCCACTTCGGGGTGCTCTCTTTGCCGGCTTTCTGAAAGCTTGCATCTCCTAGTTTTGTGGCTGCGTCCCCTGCCCTTGAACCCCTCTTTCCTCTTGATCAGAAGGGACAGCTCCTTGGCCTAAGATCGCAAAAGGATGCCCCAGGCAGGAGGTGATTAGGCCCCGATTCCAGGCCGATTTGTGCCATGTGGTTGCTGAGGCTTCAGGCAGTTTTTATACCCGTCTGAGCCTTGGATTTCTCTTGTTTGAAAAGAGACAGTGTTAGAGGCTGTCTCTTGCCAGCGTTTTTTAGACCCGAATTCATTGATGTCACGCAGGCGCATAGTATAGTAAGTGTCCCAGAAAGGGGTCCTGAATCAGGTGGCTCACGTATAAGCCTGCTGGATAATGCAGAGAACACATTCAGGTTGTTGTCTCATATCATCATCTGGAGACATGTGGGTAATGGCCATTGTCCCCTGTTTACAAGTGGTAAGGCAGGCTCAAATTCTATCCCCGGTACCAGAAAAATAAAATAAATGAAGATTGAGGCTCAAAGGAGGAAGGAACAGGCCCCAACTCCTGGAGAAGGGTTTCCCTTCACCTCTATTACTTCAGTGTATCTACTGTCACAAAGATCAGCAGATTGCTTTTGTTTGATTGGTTGGCAGCCTTTGCAGGGCCAGAGGCAGACAGATGTGAGAGCACATTCTGAAGGCCTGGTGTGCTGCCTGCCACCCCCACCTTTCCCCTGGCTGTGCTGAGGATTTCAGCTTCAGAGGGAGGCGGCAGGAAGTGGTGTGAGAAGCTTGCTATCTTATGGTTTTTTTGGGGGGGTCAGGTAGGGGGACAAGTTCAACACACCCAGGCCCTGCCCTGTGGAGTCTCTTGTTGGTTTTGAAGAACTCTGTTCCTGGAGAGAGGCAGTCCTGCTTTAGTGAAAGGGAATTCTTCCTCAGTACCAGGGGCACCCTATGGGCAATAGCAGGACCAGCTTCTAGGTTAGACCTGCAGGCTTTGGCCTCTGCTGACAGCCTGAGGCAGGGCCACCTCGTTCATCTCAAGTGTCCACCCGTGCCCATTGAGTAGAGTCTGTGATTGCATAAGCCTGGGTTTGGCCCTTCAGGAACAGGTTGGCCCTAACTCATTGGAAGCTTTGTCTGGCTCTTGTTGGAATGTTTTTGTATGTCACCCAAGAGGAGCGTGAGAAGCAGGAAGACTCCCTGTGACCTGACTCTAAATTTGTTCTTTAGAGCAGTGACTTTGGAAGGGTTTTCTTTGTTTTGGTTTTTGCGTGTGTGTGTGTGGGGGGGGGGTGTCTTTTTGAGACCGGGTCTTGCCATGCAGTTCAGGATGGCCTTGAACTCACTTTGTAGCCCAGGCCAGTCTCAAACTGCAACAATCCTCCTGTGTCAGCCTCCTAAAATCTGGGATTATAGGCGTGCGCCACTATACCTGGCTTCAGAAAGGGCTTTTTTTTTTTTTTTTTGTCTTTTTCCTTTTTATCAGTAACGGGGATCGAACTCACAACTGCCTGTTTGCAAGGCAGGCGCTTAAGCCGCTGAGCTAAATCCCCAGCCCCCCAGAAAAGGTTTTTCTTTTTCGTTGTTTTTGGTTTTTGAGACTGTTTCACTATACAGTTCAGGCTGGCCTTGAACTCAGTTTGTACTCCAGGCTGGCCTGGAACTCAGCAATCCACCTGCCTCAGCCTCCAAAGTGCAGGGATTACAAGTGTGCACCACCACACCTGGCAGGTTTTTCTTGTTTTTGGGTACTAGGAATTGAACTCAGGACCATGCACTTGCTAGGCAGGCACTTGCACTGCTGAGGTATATCTCCAGCCCTCAGAAGGATTTTTGAAAGTGAGATTTCAGACCTGTCTAGTGGAATTCAGCTCATGTCTTCACTTCTGTCCAGAACTTTTGCTTCACCTGCCTCCAGTCCCACACAGCCACATCTGTGATCTTCATGAGAGTCCTTGGCTCAACAGAGCATTTATCATGTCCTGTGTGTTGGCTGGGGAAACCAGGGGCCCAGGGAAAGGTGTCCAGGCTGTTTGATGGCACCTCTCCCTCCCTGGTGGCTGCAGGCAGGACCATCAGGGATGTGTGTGTGTAAGAAATAGCAGAGGCTCTGGGCTAGAGCCTTGTGTGGCTGGAACAGATGGTAGGAGGAAGGGACCAAGTTAGTTGGCATGAGCCTCAGGCACCCACCCCTCTCTTTTGTCTACTTTTTATATCATAAGACACAGGGGAGACAAGAGTCTCAGGTTCCCTCCCAGAAAGAAAACTGAGGCCCTGGGAGAGAAGTTGCTATGCCTGGGCCAGGAGGCCAGGCCAGCTAAACAAGGCTGAGCCCACAGAAGGCACCAGGATACTGCCTTGGGGCACCCAAGAGGGGCTCCTGTGGTGAGGAGCCACTGGCCTAAGTGTGCTCAGGTGTGACCTTGGGCAAGTCAGCTGCTCTGGCGTGAAGGCTGCTGGAATGATAAGAAGAGCCCGCAGCTCCCTCTCCCCCTTATGAAGAGCCGGAAGTGTGGTGTTTCTGTCACCTCCTGGGCTCCCCCGTACCTGCTGGAGGCGGCAGTGCCAGGGCTGGTTCAGCTGGGCCTGAGTCAGAAGCCTGGTGGCCTCGCTCAACCTGTCAGCTTTTTCCTGCTGAGCCTGTGATACTGTGGAATATGTATCTGGGCTTCTAGTCCATTTCCTGACATACAAGCCTCCAAATCCTTGCGTCTCCGCAGGGAAGAGTGCCATGTATGTGGCTGGGGATCCCCAGATGACAGATGGGGGGGGCTGGTTGCCAGGGAAACCAACCATGTGATTTAGTTTTGCAACTTTCATTCCCATCCAGGGTGGGGAGATAATGAAGGTTGTGTTGAGGCCAGGCATGGTGATGGAGGTCTGTAATCCTAGCACTTGTGAGGCTGAGGCAGGAGGATTGCCCTGAGTTCAAGGCCAGCCTGGATTACATAGCAAGACCCTGTCTCAAAAAAAAAAAAAAAAAAAGAATCCCTTTCAAAATACTCCCCCTCACTTCAAACACACTTATCATACTTGTCGTTTTCGGAAGCAGTTCTGAAAGTCCTCTTTCATGGATGTCTTTTTTTGGTACCGGGAATCGAAATTAGGACCTTGCACTTGCCGGGTAGGTGTGCGCCACTGAGCTGTATCCCCGGCCCCTTGTGGATGTCTTTAGTTGTGTTTGGCTGCCTCAGCGTCCTGAAGTGATTACAGACAGTAACCTGTCATGGTCATTTTGACTGTGAGGCGGAGCCAGAAGTCACGTCCTTCCAGATCTGGTGAATGAGGTGGTGGGGCCACAGCGGTGTGTCTTTACAAGCCAGCCTTTCGGTGGTGCTCGCTCTGCAGCCGCGTTCAGTTTGTTTTTTAAAATCACAACACATGAAGACTCCCTTGAAAGGAATTCCAGCATTGCTTCAGAAAGTGACAAGCAGAGTGGAATAAGCATGTTTGAGATGAGGAGTATTGTAGGGGAGATAAATGGCAGCGCATCTTTTGTTGCAATGCATTTTTTTTTTGTCTTTTTCTTTTTTATCGGTACCGGGGATGGAACTCACGATGGAACTCACTGCCTGCTTGCAAGGCAGGCGCGTATGCCGCTGAGCTAAATCCCCAGCCCTGCAATGCATTTTTAAAAATTTAAACACTGAGACAGCGGCCCTTCCAGGGGGAGAACCAGCAGCAGCTCCTGAGACCCACGCCATGTTGGAACTTAGGACACTGGCAAGCCAAGCAAGCACCTCCCATCCCTGGTAAGCAGAGGCAGTGTGGCAGACTACAGCCCTTTCAGGGGGAGAACCAGCAGCAACTCCTGAGATCACGCCATGTTGGAACTGAGGACGCTGTGAAACCCAACAACCAGCCTGCCTCCCTGCTGGGCAGTAGTGAACCTGCTGATGCATGGCCTGGGGTCCGATATCCCACTTCCCCTACCCCTCTTCTCCCCCCCCCCAGCCCATTAGCGGGTGGGAACCAGAAATCTGAGCATCTCCAGGGAGGTTGACCATAGCAAATTGGGGGGGGGGCTTCCTTCTGCCATCTCTTTGAAGGCAAATATTTTTATTACTTTTGCTCTTTTCTGATTGATGGTATGGCTCTATTCAGTATTCTGTTTTGATGGATTCTATAGTGTTCTATGTTTCATCTCATTTTGATATACGTGATTGAAAGAACAACTATTATAAAGATAACAAAATATACTGTGATACCTATTACTGTTATCCCGGTAACCTGCTGTGAAGGTCTGTACCAATTTCATTGTACGGTCTTAGTTGGCTTTATTCTGTCTTGTTCTGTTGTATTCTTCCAAAATAAAATTTTAAAAAATTTAAACACTGTATATTTTGATCATATGTCATGGGTATACAGTATTAAATTCCATAAAAACCCAGAGAGGCAGGCATGGTGGTGAATGTCTGTAATCCAGACTTAGCAGGCTGAGGCAGGAAGATCACTGTGAATTTGAGATCACCCTTTCTCAAAAAACAAAACCTCAAAGGACTGTTCTAAGGGCTCTGGACTGCTGAACGCAGAAGCTCCCCTCAGCTCTTTCGTGGCTCTCTGTGAGGTCCTTTATAGAAGGCGGTGATGTAACTAAAACGCTTCCTTGGGGATGGAAGATTTGAGCATATCATGCACATCCATAAGGTGTTGCCAGATTTTTAGTAAACCTATGGGATAAGATTATTGGTCAAATTAAGAAAATTTATAGGCTGTCATATTTTGGGGGTATGGGGAGTCAAACTCAGGACCTTAACCTTGCTGGGCAGGTGCTTATGCCAGTGAGTTAAATCCCCGGCCCTGGAAGTGATCTTTAAAGACCATTTCATCAAAGCTTCTATTACTACAAAAAGAAATTTTAAAAAATTAAATGCTGCCTTGAGTTCTGCCAGCTGCTGTAGCAGATTAATGGGGCCCACGGAGGACACCTCATGGGCTGCTGCAGAGCCGCCCAGCAATGCTGGGCAGGCAGGGCCTTGGGGCAGACACGGTCTGCAGTCTGTGCTGGGCTGCGCAGCGGGAGGAGCCCAGAATATCTGTCCAGACATGGCTTGCATCTGCAGGTGCGCCGTATGGCAGCCCACTCTCCAGAGGACAGGGTGACAGTGGATCAGGGCCCTGGGGCCCCGTCTGGAGGATAGTGTATGGGGGACGGGGTGCTCTGGGCCTGCCTCATCTCCCCAGGGCCAGGGGCATCTGAGGAGGGGCAACTTTGAGAAGAAAGGGGGTCTCATTTTTGTAGAAATACAAGCTAACAATTTTGGGAAAAGTACAGAAATACCTGTCTGTCGTGGCCACAGCTGTGGGAAGGAGCAGATGTGTAAATCCCTGACACATCTCTGCACTGCCAGTGGGAAGAGGCTTTTCAGTATGGACCTAGCAATTCATATCTAGGTGTACGTCCTATAATCCTGGCATTTTTCTCATCCTTGCAGGCTGGATCTTCTAATAGGCATTATGTCACTAGCAGAGACTAGCTGTTTAGTAAATTTTTAAAAAGCTGCTCAATAAACTTTTTGTTTGTTTTTTTGTCTTCATTGTGCCTGTAAGCACTTGGGAGGCTGAGGCAGGAAGATCACTGCATGTACAAAGCCAGCCTAGATCACATAGTGAGTTCAAGCCCAGCCTGAAATGCATTGCAAGACCCTGTCCCCTTCCCCCCAAAAAACCCCAAAACAACAACACAAAAAACCCTGCTTCCTGCCGCATAGTAGCTCCACACTTCTTTATTTCTTCAGCAAATATTTTACTGGACTCCAATTGTGTGTGTTTCTCTGTGTTGGCTACCAAGCATACATGGGTAAATAGGACATTTTCCATAAAGCAGTGCTATACCTAATGAAGGAGACAGTTAACTGGCATTTTAATACAGTGAGAGCCATAACACAAAGAATTCTTAGAAATCTCAATAAGGAGAAACCAAGCAAAAAATGAATGAGAAACTCATTTAAAAAAAAAAAACCTCAAGAGAGCCAGTGATATAGCTCAGCAGCATAGCATCTGCCTGGCAAGCACAAGGTCCTGAGTTCAATTTCCAGTATCCACCCCCCAAAGTCAGGATGGGGCTGTCTCAAAGTGATAGCCTGCACACTTAGCTCAGCTGCGTGGAATTGTCTCCTGTGATCCTCTGTCGCCCCCACGTGGATTGTAAAAGCCAGAGTCTGGCCCTTGGGAGTTTGTGGACGTTGAATGTGGGGCTTGTGGAAGGGCAGCTTCAGTGGCACCACCCCAGAGCCCTGTGGTAGAGGGGAGGAAGACACACTCTCTTCCTCCCCTGTCTCTAGCTGTGCGTCCCTGATCATGTGAGTTTCCCAGACTCCTTAGCAATCTTCAGGCCAGGCTGGGGATAAGCCAATGAGGTTGCCCCACTTTACTCCCCAGCCCTGCCACACGCATTCTTTTACTTTTCACTCACAGGGTCAGGGATTTGGCTCAGTGGTTTTAAGCACTTGCTTGGCAAACATGAGTTTGTGAGTTTGATCCCCAGTTCTAAAACAACTTCATACAGATTAAATATGAAAGAGTTGCTGGCCCAGACCGGACACTGTAACCAGGAAAGGCTGCAGCTAGGTTAGAAAACTCCTGCCTCCCCCCGCCCCCTATAGACTTGACTGTAACCCTATACCCCCTCCCTAGGAACTTGCTTTCTGGCGCTAAACCTGTGCGCCAATGAAATACCTATACATCTCTAATGGCCTTAGGGCACTGCTAAGCTTAGGCTATTTATATTCCCCCACGCCACGTGTCCGAGAGAGATCGCCAGAGAGAGAGATCGCCAGAGAGAGAGATCGCCGGTCAGAGAGAGATCGCCAGATTCCAGCAGCCAGTGCGCCAGTCTCCTCTCCCCGGGGCCAGCGGGGGGTCTCTCTCCCCGCATTCCCGAAATAAAGCCACCGCTGCCCACTACTTTCACGGCCGTCCACTCCACTCCTTCCACGGACCTCGGACCTCGACCTCTTCTTCCTTCCTCCTCCCATCCTCTTCCCTTCTTCTCGACCTCGACCTCTTCTTCTACCTCTCTCCCTCTTCCCATCTCCCCTTAAAGTCACCTTCTGGGAGAGCCTTTCCCTGACTCTCCCCTGCTGGGGCTGCGTCCTCTCCTCTCTGTCCCCAGGCTGTCAACAGGGAGGCCAATTACTGGCTCATTTGCTGCCCCTGCTGGACTCCCAGGATGGGAGCTGCAAGCAAGTCCTGTTCTTCAGCAGCCCCTTGGCCTCAGCCGCGCCTAAAGCCTGAGACTAGAAGGGTTCCTTTAACCACTCACATGCTTCACTTACAGTTATGTAAAATGGGACTGAACCATATGAAAGGACTGTGTGTGACTCAGAGGGAGGGGCTGTGTTTGCTAGTGTAGTCATGGCTATTCATTGTAAAGGTGGGAGCACATGCAAACCCAGGGAGTGGGCTGGGTGCAGTCTCAAGACTGCAAAGGGGAGAGTCTTGAGCTTTAGCGGGACTCTGGCCATCACCGTTAGCTTCTTGATGTCCTTCCCAAGTGTGTGCCCTGTCTGTGCCACTTGTCCCATGTACCAGCCACGACTGGCTGGTGTTCACCTTGTGGCCCAGCCAATTAGCAACTTGTGCCCATCATCAGATAGCTGGTCCTGGTGCACACACTCGCCGATACAACTGCATGCACCTCCAACCTAGTACTCAAACGGCAGCATGCCACGCGGGTGCCAGGTCTCCACTGACTTCTGCTTGTGCATCTTATCAGACAGCTAGTGCGTCAGCCCACACCGTGTATACCCCGCTCACTAGCAGTAGCATCGCAAGGCTGTTCTTTTTGCGTTTCTTTCCACCTAAGGTATCTCGGAAGTCGTCCGTATTGGTGCGCATTGAACATTTTTTGTTTTAACGGCTGCACGGTTTTCCAACGTATGGATATTTTCCTCCTCGACTGCCATTACTTTTGTCAGTGTAAAAAAGTGTAGGGTCGCAGGAGGCTCCATGAAGATGCAGAGCTGGCGTCCAGACACTTGATTCCAGCTCCATCTGTGCCCGGAATTCCCTGCTGTCCCGGGCTGCATCTTCTCCAGCAGCAGGATCTTGGGAAGGGGATGTGGGTGCACGGAGGATGGGGCGGGCTGCTGCCGGGTCCGAGCGCGTTTCGGTTTCCAGCCACTCAGCGCACCAGCGACACCCACGCATTACGCACCCTGGAACAATGGAAGTCGGAGTCCTTTAATATATCTCCGCGAACTGGCGCCTAACCTCCAGTCGGTCACGCGCTGAATCACTTCTACTCACTACCTCTTAAGTTTCTTAACCGCTAGTCCCTTAGCGTTCTCTCTTAAGGTCACAGTCGTTCCTGCCCCTTTAAGAGGGCGGAGCCTTACCTCCGTGGTTTCCCGCCCGAACCTACCTGGCGCAGGCGCACTGAAGGGAGGCAAGAAAGGCCTTTACAACTCCCTTTACAAACATGGCGACGCCCAGGGTGCCGCGTTCGCGCCCGTCGCTGACGTCACTTCCGGGGCGGAGGAGGCTGAGTGGTGCAGTGAGGGACAAACAAAAGGAGGCGCCGGCAGAGCGCGGCGGTCAGCCGCCGGACGGGGCGGCCAAGGCGAGGATTACCTGCTGCGCTGCCGGCCGCGGCTTGCCGAGGTGAGTGGGTCGGGTGGGGAAAGGGGCGAGAGCTGTCACCTCTGGGAACCCATTCGGAAGCATCCCGTCCGTCGCCCGGCCCCACGCGTTTGGAGCTCTCGGACTGCCCCCGCCGCGGTATCCCCCCGGACTCCCGCGGCTGCTCCGTGCGACGCCCCCTGCCCTCTCTGCCAGGCGCCGGGTCCCCGCGGCCCCACCCTCCCGCCGGTGTCGGGGCGCGCGAGCCCCCTCCAGGCACCCCGTCCCTCCTGTGTCCTCCTCACCGGCGTTTCCGCCTGGCTCCCCCACGTCCCCTTGTCATCTCCTGGGTCCCCATCACTTCTGCTCCACACACACTATCCCCTTCCCGGGGGTCTCACCCCTGGGCGCTCTCTTTGCCAGCTTCTTTTTCGCTTTCATCAGTTCCCTCCAGGTCCCTTCTCTTAGGTCCCCACCCCCGCCCTCTACCCTTGGATTGGTCCGACTCTTGATCTGGAGGAGACAGTGCCCTGACACAGGAACAACATCCCTGACTAGGGTCTTAGGACCCGGGGTTGGGGTTCTAGCGATGACCGAAGCCCCTGCCCTGTCCCTTGCATCCACAGCCACGGGGGCGGGAGGTGCAGATCCAGTGAGCTCACTGCTTGGGCCAGCTGTGTAGGTGAGCTGGCGATCCAGCACGCTGGTTCCAGGCTGAAGGATCATAGCTTGGGGATCATGGGGTCCGTGATGATTCTGCGACTTTGGAGGCCACCCCTTCTTAGTCTGGGCTGGAGGGAACAGAGTTTGGGCTGGTTCTCCGCTGATGTGTTGCCTTTTTTGGGAAGAGATGTGGTCAGGGATTGTGTGGCAGCCTCTTCCTGGAGGGCACTGGGCTGGCAGGGTGGGGTGGGTCCTGGGTGAGTGGTGCTTTCCACTCCCTCTTCTTCCCTGCTCAACCTAGCACGCCTTTGAGGATGAGCTAGGAGGCAGAGGTCGATGGAGAGAGGGTGCTGGGGCGCAAAGACCTGGAGGAGGGATCTGAAAGTTTGGAGGACCACTTTCCCCTTTCCTGTTAGTCAGCGCCTGGAACTCTTGCCAAACCATATTTGCTCTTTGGACCAAAGTGGCAGATGGACAGGCACTGTGGAAAGGGGAGAGGTTAGCTGGGGGTGCCACTTCCTGTGAGAGGATGGGGTGAGAGTGTGTTTCAGGGGTCCCAGTCTGTGCCTCTGACGTGTTGTCTCTGTGAAGGTCGAGTGTCCTGTGGCTGGGGGGAGGCAAGAACAGATGGGTCGCGCTGGAGGACCACCTGCTGTGGCGATGCTGGGGGTGAGTGGCCAGCCTCTGCCTTTCCACCTCAGAGCTGTGTTTGGGGTCAGGGCAGGGTCTGATGTCTTGGGTCAGGGACTGGGAAATCAAGAAAAGTTAGTGACTTGGCCAGCTACAGAACTTCACCAGATGCATTTGTTCTCTGTTTCCTGGGCACGCCCCCTGGGAAAGTTTGCTTTGCAATGCTGAGTGGCCTTTCTGGAAAGTGGGCTCCTGAGGAATGTTCTGTGGGTCAGAAGTCAAGGAGGTGGACCGGCTCTGGTTGCTGCCTGACATGGGCTGGGCTTCACCTGTGGGAGCCAGAGGGAAGAGGTCAGCGTGGCTTCTGACTTTCGTGAGTGGAAGTCATTCCAGGCTTTCACAGGAGGACACCCAGGCAGAGGCCAACAGGCTGAGAACCTCATGGGGACTCACGTGGGATTGATATGGAGCCTTGCGCCAGGAGCCCAGCCTCACCTTGCTGGCTCCAGAGCTTGTCCTCCTAGTGGTTACTGCCTCACTCAAGCTCAGCTCATGTCATGGCTGGTCCCCAAATGTAGAGTAGACCACAGGCGCCTTTGCCCTGTTGCCGACTTGTCACTTGTTTTGTGATTGGTGCAGCAGGTGCTTTGTATTTTATTCCAAGACTTGTCCGGTTCGTCTTCCCCATAGTTCTTCTCCTGCTGGGTCCCTGACTGCTTCGAGCTCTGGCCAGGGTGGGAGAGCTCACAGTCTTCGCCTGTCTGGGTCTCCTGCTTTTCCTGGGTTCCCCCAGCAGAGCCCCACAGATTGTAACTGTTCACATGCTGTCTCCCAGAGGACCAGGTTCTGTGCGTGAGGCTGCCTGTTTCAGTTGCCCAACTAAGGCTCTCCAGAAGTGCTGGCAGCGTGAGTCTGAGAGTCGCGCCCGCCCACTGACAGCAGCTCTCCCCTCCTCCTAGGGCGCATCCATGGAGCAGAAGGGATGCCAGGACGCTGCGTGGACAGACGCATGCCAACCTCAGCACCTCCAGCCGACGCGCAGATAGCAGCCTGGGGTAAGGAGCTAAGCCTGGACCCGCTCCTGCCCAGCCTGGGGCAGAGGGCAGCATCTCCAGCTCCGTGGTCCTGTCAGCTCAGCACTGGAGACCCAGGGACCAGGGACAGAGGGGTCCAAATTGTTATTTAGCCTCTTCTTCGCACTGAGCGTGTCCAGGCGCTGTGCTCTTTGAAGGCTAATGTTGCATTGAACTGCTTGAGTTTCACCCCCAGATCGTATCAATCTGAGTTACTAATAACGCTGCCTCGTGACCCATCTCCCAAGATGTGTTCTGTGGAGCACAGTTGTAGTCTGCGGCAGTGGTTCAGTAATTCGGTGAGCAGCAAACTTGTTGACGCTTGGATGTGTTGAACTGGGCACGGTGAATCTGAGGGGCAGTGAGCGAGACGGATTTCCTCACACCAACCCAGCCTCACAGATGTCTGTAGGCTGAGGTTCCTTGGCCTTGGCTTTGGGAAAGGGTAGCTTAGCCCAGGGGAGGCCTTGGATTAAATCCCGAGCACCCCAAGAGAGGGGCGTGTGATATGATATTAGCACCTCACTCCTTAGGAGATGTTTTGAGGATTAAACACTTTGATGAAGAGAAGGTTTTAGGACAGAGCTGGCGGGTGCAGGGTCCTGGGTGACATGCAGGGTACATTCAGGTCACCAACTTGCGATCATTTGCAAAAGTTTGGGTAGTGACTATTGTCTGCTGCTCACAAGTGTGGAGACCAAGGCTCAGAGTTACAAGGGACCAGAGTCAAACTACTCAGGAGGACAACATGGGCAAGGACTCAAACCTGGATCCTGCAACCCCAGGCCAGCTCCTTTGTTCCTGCCTGAGGCCTGTCCGTGTCCACCTTCCCGCTCAGCTTTGCCCAAAGCGAGGCTTGAATCTCCCTTGCCAAGGCTTGAAGAGCAATAGGGAAGCTTGGGGCCATTTTGGGGTTACCAGGGTGTCTGCAGGTTCATTGTGTGCCTCATTCTAGGGATGTTTCTGTGTTTTTCTTTTAAAACAAAGGCTGTCGGTATGTGAGTCGATCAGTATTCAGGCTTGATTGCAGGGCTGGCATTCTGTGAGGAATAAATGGGTTTGGGGTTGTAGTCTGGGCACTGGTCTCTGAAAGGTTCACTGTCCCTGCCCCCCCACTGTTGGGATTTTGTTATGGCAGAGAGAGGGGAGTCTTACCTTTGAGGCAGGAATAGGGAGAGGGGACTCCTCACCTCTGTGACTGCAGCAGATCTACTTTCAAAAAACCAGGTCTTGTAGAAGCTGCCAATTAGCAGCTCACTTTTATTTCACGGAATGACAGCTCCTGGATCCTTCCCAGGCCAGAGGCAGACAGCTGTGGAGAGGGTAGTGAACATAGGGAGGGACACAAGGCGCTTTCTGGTGCCAGCCGCCTGGCCTCTCCTGGCCCTGCGGTGCTCTGGCCGCTGTCTGGCTGTGCATTTCAGCAGCAGAGGAGGCAGAAGTGCCTGGCACGTGGAGGCCACTCTCCTGTTCAGTAGGACCAGGTCTGCAAAGCTGGCCCTGCCCTGTTGAGTCCTCTGATTCTGAGGAACCCTGTCGCAGAGAGGGGAGTCCTGAACTGAAGGCTCTCAGCCACACCAAGCAGGACGCAGTGGGTCCTGGTCATGTGAGGTGGGAACTCCTCCTGGGTGCCGGGACACCCTTGAGAGGAGTCTGGGTTGTGAATGCTCTTAGTCTCACCCTTCTCGTCCCCTCAAGCATAACCTAGCCCTGCCTCAGTTTCCCCTTGCAGTAGCCATGGGAAGCTCTTGATTAGAACACATCTGTCAGGCGTCAGGCAGGAGGGCAGGTGGGGGAGCAGGGCCACGTTGGGACCTCACTGGAGAGTTGCTCTTTGGGGCAAAGGTCCTGGCGAGAGTTCCTCCAGGATATGTCTGAGGCTTGGCAGCCTCATTCAGGGGCATCGGCAGAATCTGGCGAGATCTAGCCAGGGATGACTCTGCCGGGGCTCCTGGTGTCTTTGTCAGCTGGCTGTATCCTCAGCCTTCTTCTGCCATCACTCCGCTTCCCTTTCTCTGTCCCTGGCAGTGTCTGCCTCTCCTGGGGGCCTACCTGGCAGAGCGCCTTTGGAGTGGCCCCTCTGGAGATTGGTGCTTGGCATCTTAATTTCTGTCCCCTGCCCTGAGCATCCCCAGTGCCACCTTCCAGATCCCTGCCGGCCACTGTGTGCACGTTGCCGTCAGCCCAGCTGGATGGCGAGGTCCTCGTAGAGATGAGGGGAGTGAGGCTTGGGGATGAGATCTTATACCCAGGTCCTGCAGCTTCCAAGTGGCAGCCAGGACAGAGCCAGGTCTGTGTGGCTCGGCAGCCCACGGTCTCTGCTTTACTCTGCTGCTGCTGCTGCTTCTCCTTTTCTCAGGCATTTGAGGATGCCTCAGGGTCACCTGGGGACCTTATTAAAAATGCCGTGGCCCTGGCCTACCTGGAGTCAACCCTCAACCGCTGGGCCCAGGAGCCTGCACTTTGCAGAAGGTGCCCTGGCTGCTCACGCGGTGGCCCACGGGCCACACTGTTGGGCTCATCCTCGGGGCCCTGGCTCTGGTGAAGGAGGCTGTCTGCGGCCCACAGCCATGCCTTTGGGGGAGCAGGGCTGCACTGCCCTTAGAATCCGGGTTTCAGGAACTGACCTACTTTTGTTTTTTTGAGACAAGGTCTCACTGTGTGACCCGTGCTGGTCCTTGAACTCACGCAGGTCCCCTGCCTCAGCTCCCAAGTGCTGGCATTACAGGCGTGTGCCACCAGGTGCCCAGCTTGGGTGTTTATTTTTTAGTGACTTGTGTGTGTGTCTCATGGGTCTTGTCAGAGATAACGTGGGGCTGAGCTACCTAGAGGAATTTTCACTCCCAGCTGCAAGTGGTCCCTGCCACCTCTCCCAGCGCCTCTCTGCTGCATTCCACCTCTCGCAGCAAGCGCTAGCATCTAAACGTCTCTTGAGGGCTCGAAACCTCAAAATTAAATTGCCTGATGCAATATAACCTCGCGCCTGGAGCGACTGTCTGCCGAGTAAAAGTGGCTGTAAAATTCCACAGCCTTCTCGCGCCACCTGGACACCTTGGAGGCTCAGCTGCCAAATGCACGCCCTCAGCCGATGTGACAGATATGCCATGGGCAGCAAGGTGGGGTGGGAGTCCTTGCCTCTTCTAGCTGGCTCCCCGGGTTCCAGGTCCCCTCGGTTGGTCCAGTTGCCCACTAGGGGCTGACCAGTGCCCAGCCCCCTGGGACCTCAGCTGCAGACCCAGCCCCAGCCTCTCCGGGGTGTCCATGGCCACACTGTGGAGCCATTGGGAAGGTAGCCTGGTGTTCCCTGCAGGTCCCCGCCTGTCGTCAAGCTCCTCTGCCCCTAGGAACCCAGACTTGGGTTCCCTTCCGAAATGTCCTTAATCCTTGGAAGCCTGAAGGCATCCCAGTGTGGCCCTCCCGGGATCCCTGTTCCCATACCCCTCAGGGACAGGAGTAGGACCCAGGAGACCTGTCTGTCCTAGATGCAGGGTGGCACAGTGGTCACGTCTGGTGTGGATCTTCCCATCCCCTTCCAGCTGTGTGGCCTCAGCCAGATCTTTGCTGGGCCTCAGACTTCACACTGTAGAAGGACCAATGAAAATTCCGTGAGAATTAACAGCGGCACTCAGGAGGCTGAGGCAGGAGGATCACTGCGAGGGCGAGGCCAGCTGGGCTATGTAGCAGGACCCCGTTTTAAATAAAATAAGAATAATTGCTGCAAAGTACCAGGCTCAGCGGTGCATGTCTGTAGTCCTGCTTACCACGGAGGCTGAGGCAGGAGGATCATGAGTGTGAGGGCAGCCAGCATAAGCTAGTAAGACCCTATCTCAAGCCAAATAATAGTGTCACTATACGGCAGGGGCCATCCAGGAGGCTTTTGGGGAATGCCTTATTCGGGGCCCCACCTCAGCCCTCTGGGAGTGGATTTGTCTGGCTTCTGGCTGGGGAAACCCTGAGCCCTTCAGGGCAGTGACTTTTCCAAGGTCACACTTGTGAGTAAGGAACACCTTTGCAGTCTGCCCAGGGACAGGGAGCTGGAGTTGGCCTGCTGCCCCTGGGTTCTGAGTTCAGGTCTCCAGCAGGGGCACCCTGGGCTGGAAGGGCATCCCTTTCCTTGTCACCCTTCACCCCGGAAGGCAGGCCACACCTTCGTTAAGTGTCCACAAAGCCGAACCTGTTTGGAGAGCCCTGCCCAAACGTGAGAGCCATTTGGAACTGATACTGGCTCCCCTCTGCCACTCCGCCTAGGCTGTCTCTTCAGCCTTCCCCAGGAAGTGAGGGTGTGCCCTTCTGTGCAGGGTGAGTCCCCAGCCCGAAGCACCCCCAGACCGCAGCCTCTGACTCACCCTGTGTGGGGAGGCAGTGCCTTGCTTGTGGGTGTGTGAGGGCCAAGTGTGCCAGATGTGGCTGAGACCTCTTCTCCCCTCTCCTTCCTGGCTTTGGGATAGGAGGAAGCGCAAGGTCTGGAGCAGCGGAGCCAGCGACCCAGGCCCCAGTGGCGGCCTTCCTTGGGGGAGCACTGCGGGGACAGCTTCCTGTCCGGGCTAGAGGAGGGGCGCCAGCCTCCCACTGCCCCTGCGGCTCTGTTTGTGCTTTAACAAAAGACTCTTTGTGCCACATTGACTGGCCACCTCCATGAGGCTGGCTGTCCAGGTGTGGGTGCTGCCCAGCCCTCCAAAGACCCATGGAGAGGACGCTTGGGTGGTCTTCCTCCAGACTGCCTTTCTTGGCGGTAAGAAAAGTCAAGAAATCGAAGTTGGCTAAGGTGACACATGCCTGCTATCCCTGTGACTTGGGAGGCTGAGGTGGGTAGATCGTTCAAGCCCAGGACTTTGGGGGCAAGACCCCTTCTCATCAAAGAAAAAGGGGACTCGACTGGACTAGGGTGGACACTTTGGGCTGACTCTGAGAGCCAGTGGCCGGCTTTCCACCTGGTAGTCTAACCCTGCTCGGAGGTCATAGCATTTAGGTTTCAGCTGTCA